CACAGATGGCATTATTCATTATTGTCTATGTAGAAAATCTCAAGGAATCTACAAAAAAAAATCTTTCAGTGTGTTTAGGAAGGTCAACATACAAAAATCAATCATATTTCAATACCTACAAATGAACACATGGCTACCAAAATTTTAAAAACAGTACCACTTATAATAGCTCCAAAAAGCATATGATATACTCAGCCATAACTCTAACAAAGCATATATGCAGAATCAATGTGCTAACAACTACAAAATATCAAAGACCTAAATAAATGAGAAGATGTCCTGCTCATGTATTAGAAGAGTTAAAATGTCAGACTTCCCCCCAGCTGATCTATAGATTTAAGGCAGTTCCAAACAAATCCCAATGTGAGTCTTTGTAGATATAGGCATGTCCATTATAAAATTTACATGTAAAAGTAAAGGAACTGGAATACCCAAAACAATTTTGAAGAAAGAACAAGGTTGGCTGTGCATGGTGGCTCATGCCTGTAATCCTAGCACTTTGGGAGGCCGAGGCAGGCGGATCACCTGAGGTCAGGAGTTCGAGGCCAGCCTAGCCAACATGGTGAAACCCAATCTCTACTAAGAACACAAAAATTAACTGGGTGTGGTGGCCAGCACTTGTAATCCCAGCTACTAAGGGGGCTGAGGCAGGAGAATCGCTTGATCCTGGGAGGCAGAGGTTGCAGTGAGCTGAGATGGTGCCATTGCACTCCAGCCTGGGTCACAAGAGCAGAACTCCATCTCAATAATAATAATAACAAAGAGAAAAGAACAAGGTTAAAGACTCATACTATCCAATTTAAGACATATTATAAAATAAAACCACAGTGATCATAAGAGTATAGTATTGACTAAAGGATAGATGCAGAGATAAATAAAACACAATGGAGATTCTAGAAATAGATCCATAAAATAGGGAATTTTTAATGAGTTTCATTGAGGTATAACTGACTTACAAGAAACTCTACGTATTTATAGTATAAAGGTTGATACATTTTGATATATGTATACATAGGTAAAACCATCAGCCTAATTAAAGTAATGAACATTTACATTATCCCCAAAAGTTTCTTTGTGTCCTTTAGTAATCCCTTCTTCCCACCCCTCTCTACTTCCCCATTTCATCTCCTGGCAATCATTGATCTGCTTTATATGGTTTATATTAGTTTATATTCCTTGAAACTTTATATTAATGGAATCATACAGAATGTACTTTTTGTCTTGCTTTCTGACCTCAACGTCATTCTTTTGAGAATCATCCATGTTGTAGCATGTTTTAATAGTTCATTCTTTTTTTATTACTCTGAGGTCTTTAATTGCATCCATGTGCCATACTTTGCTTATCTGTTCATTCAGGTGTACACTGTTTTGGCTACAAATAAACCTGATATGAACACTCATGTACAAGTCTTTGTCTGAACATATGCTTTCATTTCTCTAAGATAAATACCTAAGAGTTGGAAGGGCTGGATTATATAACTGTATTTAACTTTTAAAGAAACTGACAAACTGTTTTCCAAAGTGGTTCTATCATCTTACATTCCCACCAGAAGTGTATGATTGTTCCAGCTCCATCACACCCTTGCCAACACTTAGTATTGTTAGTCTTTTTAGCCAGTCTAAAAGGTGTGTGGTGTTAACTCATGGTTTTAATTTTCACCTTTCAAATATTGATGGTCTTTTCCGAATGTTAAAGAGTTTTTCATATGCTTATTTGTCATCTGTTTATCTTCTTTAGTGAATTGAGTGTTCAAAGTTTTGACAAAGATATGAAAACACTTCAACAGATAGTGCTGGAACAATGGTATATTCATATGCAAAGTTTGAATCTCAACCTATATGTCACATAAAGTATACAAAATTTAACTGTAAATGAACCATAGACCTAAATGTAAAATTTAAAAACTCTAAAACTGTTATTTTTATGTGTAAAAAAAAAGAGAAAGTCTACTGTGATTTTGGCTCACAAAACAAGATTTGAAAAAAGATAAACTAGAATTCATTGAATTAAAAACTTTTGCTCTGTGAAAGACACTAACAAAATGAAATGATAAGCCAAATATTTGCAAATCACATATCTGAAAAAGGACTTGTGCCCAGAATACATAAAGAACTCTCAAAACTCAACAATAAGAAAACAATACTTTTTTTAATGAATAAAAAATTTGAACATGCATTTCGTCAAAGAAAACATATAGATGGGAAATAAACATATGAGTTGTTCAACATCATTAGTCATTAGGGAAATGCAAATTTAAAACCACAATAAGATACCATTACATACCAATTAGCATGGTTAATATAAGAAATTCTGATAATACCAAGCGCTGATAAGGAGGTGGAACAACCAGAACTCTCATATGTGACTGGTTGGAATGCAAAATGGCACAGGATGGGCACTCTAGAAAGGGTTGATATTTTCTTATAAAATTAAACATATATTTTATCATTTGACCCAAAAATACCATTTGTAGGTATTTCTTATACAGAAATGAAAGCTCACATTCACACAAAAATCTGTTCATATTAATGGTGGCATTATTCAGAATTGCACCAAATTGAAAACTACCCAAATGTCCTTCAACAAATAAATGGATAAACAAATTGTGGTACATCCGCACAATGGAATACCACTCAACAATAAAAAGGAGTAGGCTACTGATACACTCAACAAAGTAGGTGAATGTCAAATGCCTTATGCTAAGTGAAAGACACCAGTCTCAAAAGATTTATATTGTCTGATTCCATTTGTACGGTTGTCTGGAAAAGGCAAAACTATAGGAAAAGAAAACAGACCAGTGATTGCCAGGGGGTGGGAGGAAAGCTGACTGACTACAAAAGGGCAGCATGAAGGAATTCCATTAGATATTGAAATTGTTTTGTATCCTGCTTGTGGTGGTGGTTACAAGGCTCTATGCATGTGTGAAACATCACAGAACTGGACAACAATGGGAGTGAAGTTTACTGTGCTTTTTTAAAGTAATAAAAATGATTGATTTGTGGTTTCAGGTGTGTATGCAGCCTCACCTATCCTTAGAAGTTCCCTGAACCTGAAGTGCTTGGTGCATAAACTAAAGGCCAGTGTGACTGGAGCTCAAGAGCTTGGGGTAGAGGGTCACACCGCGAGGGCAGAGAGAGGGGCAGGGGCAGCCCATGTAGTGCCGTGGAACACTTGGAAAGGAATCTATGCCTCTTAAAGATCATTCTGGCTACTATGTGGAGAATGAGTCTATAATAGTAAATTACGGAAAAGGTGCTTTTTCATTTTTAAAAAGTGATTAAAGAGAAAAGTAATCATATTTTGAGAAGGGAGATCTAAATAATGGAAACATTGTGCTGTGAGCGAGGACTGAGAAGGAGAAGAAAACAGTCTGGCCTTTAAAATGAGGTTGAGTTTTGTGGTTAGAATTTCCTTGTTTGGCCAGCGCCCGCGGCACAAGGACAGGGCTTCTTCCAATGTGTTTTCTTGGCCTTCTGTTTTTTTCAGAATAAACAAACGTGGTGTCTCCAAGCTATTCAGAGGGTCCCAGGTATGCAGGGTAGCCCGATCCAGACCACAGAAGCTTTCTCATAGATCACAGCTTGGGCCCTGTTGCTATAAACACAAGATACGGGAGGCCTGAGCAAGTCTGAACACTTCCCGGAGTTGTTTTCTATGCCATCCCAAGTCCTCATGGACGAATGAGGCTAAGCCATGGAGAACAGAGCTTCATGGGCAGGGCTAGCACCTCTGACCTCAGAAACACTGGAAAATGAGTGTGGTCAAGGCTATTGGGAGCCCCATGAGTCACTGCTTGAGGTGGTGCAACATGTGATGGGTGGCACTGGAAACAGGAGGGACAGTGGAGAGCCAGCACGGGAGTCTGTTTGCTGGACCCTGTGGCCGGCAACAAAAATGCCAACCCAAACCCCCAAGCCCCTTCATAAAATGGCTGCAAAGACATTAATCCTGATTTTTATTTTTTTATTAAAAGAATTTTTTTTGAGACAGAGTTTCATTCTGTTGCCCAGGCTGGAGTGCAGTGGCATGATCTGGGCTCACCTCCCAGAACTGCTTGGACCTCCGCCTCCTGGGTTCAAGCAATTCTCCTGCCTCAGCCTCCAAAGTACCTGGGACTACAGGTGCATGCCACCATGCCTAGCTAACTTTTTGTATTTTTAGTAGAGATAGGGTTTCACCATGTTAACCAGGATGGTCTTTATCTCTTGACCTCGTGATCCACTGGCCTCGGCCTCCCAAAGTGCTGGAATTACAGGCGTGAGCTACCACACCTAGCCTGATTTTTAAAAAGAGAAGGACCTCAGCCTGAGCTGAGGGAGGTCAATTCCTCCAACTTTGCGGTTACGGGATAGCTGCAAAAAATTGTGAGATTATTCGAAATCTGATAGACTGTGAGCATAAAAAGAAAAATGTCTCAAAAATGCACAAAAACAAATTTTAAGAGTAACCTCTACTAATAGCAATCTTTTATGTAAGAATAGAAGGTTACCTTGGGTAATGGGGGCACCAAAATCTCAGAAATCACCATGAGATAAATTTTCCATGCAACCAAAAAAATAATAGAAGGATAGTTTCATAAGATAACCAAAAATCTTCCACGTGAATATCAAATGACTGCTGGCATCATGCTCAAAAGGAAAACACTCATGAGCATTTGGTTGGCATCAGAGAAAAGACAAAAGGTGACTGGCATTACCACTGCTTTTGTATTGTCTTCTGGAAATGCTATCCAAGTCACTAAGCAAGAGAATGAAATAAGAAATGTAAATATTAGGAAAAGAAACAAGAAGATCCATTTTTGCACGTTTTATAATTTTCTACCTAGGGAAGAGAAACAAGAAAATGAATTTAAAATCTGTTAGAGGCCGGGTGCGGTGGCTCACACCTGCAATCCCAGCACTTTGGGAGGCCAAGGCAGGAATATCACCTGAGGTCAGGGGTTCAAGACCAGCCTAGCCAACATGGCGAAACCCTGTCTCTACTAAAAATACAAAAATTAGCCGGGCCTGGTGGGGGGCACCTGTAATCCCAGCTACTTGGGAGGCCGAGGCAGGAGAATCTCCTGAGCCTCGGAGGCCGAGGTTGCAGTGAGCCAAGATCACGCCACTGTTCTCCAGCCTGGGTGACAGAATGAAACTCTGTCTAAACAAACAAACAAACAAAAAATAAAACAAAATCTGTGAGAAATAGTAACAATGGTCATTCAAAGGCGCCATTTCGTTTGGTTCCTGGGATGCCTTTGCACCTCTTTCCAGCTTTATTTCTCTTCTTGAAAGCCCTCGTCACCTTGGTCATGGGCAAATGTCTCCTCAGTAAAAAGGCTTGCCTGTCCCTATTGAAATCTCTTAGCATGAGGACTGCAGCCAAGACTCATGGCTCAATTTCAAGTTCCCTTTTAAGTGGAAACCATTTGATACCTTTTGCTCATGCAGTCCTGAAGTCTTTGAATATTCTGAAAGAAAGGGGGAAGTTCTGACTCAGAGATTTAACTCTCTGTCTGCACGAACCTTGGTGACTTCACCACTAAAAAACAAACAAAAAGAAAAAAAATTTTTTTGGCCGGATGCGGTGGCTCACACCTATAATCCCAGCACTTTGGGAGGCCGAGGTGGGTGGATCACGAGGTCAAAAGATCGAGACCATCCTGGTCAACAAGGTGAAACCCCATCTCTACTAAAAATACAAAAATTAGCTGGGCATGGTGGCACGCGCCTGTAGTCCCAGCTACTCAGGAGGCTGAGGCAGGAGAATGGCTTGAACCCAGGAGGCGGACGTTGCGGTGAGCCGAGATTGTGCCATTGCACTCCAGCCTGGCTAACAACAGCGAAAATCCATTTCAAAAAAAAAAAGAAAAAGAAAGAAAAGAAAAAAAATTTTTTTAAATGAATAACACCAGAAAATTCAATAAAAGACTTGGTGGGTTGGGTTCCCCAGCGTGTCTCACAAAGTACTTTTCATGTGTTTACCATTGTCCATGTTCCGATTACTAGGACCAAAATGACACCCGGGCATACAGAAACCAGAAACAAGACCTGAGCTGGGAGTGGGAAGTACAGTCAAACTATAGATGCCAGGGGGAGCGGCTCTGCTGCCTCCAGGATATCGGTAGCTCTTGCCACTGTCTGGGTCTCAGTTTCCTCGAGTGTAAAATAAAGGGCTAGGACTTGGTCTATGATGTCAAAACCTGTCACACCTGGGCAATTTCCATTCTGTTTACATTTTCTATTTCTTACCACTGGTCTTAAATTTGCACCTTCTCCTTATCACATATGTCTTCATATCTATGGAAAGTCTCTGCTTGAATATCCTGCTGCCACCCAAAATGAATTGAGTTAAAAATCGTAACTGTAGATCAGCCTTGTCTGTCAGCCCCCTTTCTCCTTCCCCTTTGTGAAAGGAAAACATCTTGAACTCCCAAAATCACTAAGCTCAAAGGAAAAGTCAAGCTGGGAACTGCTTGGGACAAACCTACCTCCCATTCTATCCAATGTCACCCCTCTGGTCACTGAGCTAAATGCATATCTGATTGCCACTTTGGAGAGACGAACCAGAAACTCAGAAGAATGCAGCCATTCGTTTCTTACCTGCCTACCACGCGGAAGCCCCTCCCTGGCTTCCAGTTGTCCCACCTCTCCAGACCTGACCAAACCAATGTTCACCTTACCTATGTTGATTGATGTCTCAGGTTTCCCTAAAATGTATAAAACCAAACTGTGCTCTATCCACCTTGGACACGTGCCATCGGGACCTCCTGAGGCTGTCTCTCAGGCACGTGTCCTCCGCCGTGACAAGATAAACTTTCTAAATTAACTGAGAGCTGTATTAAATTTTCAGGGTCCACATCTTTATCTCAGCAACGGAGGGATTTATGCTGTAACCTAAATGGCAGCTTTCCCTTCCTCCTTAAAGGTCACGTGCTCCTGTATTTGGTGGTGGTGGGGTGGGGTTGTCTTCCTCTTCCCGCAGCTGAGTTTTCCCCTGGCCTCCATCCGTCTGAGCTCTTTTCTCTTCTGGCAGCTCTGGGCTCTGTGTGGGTCCTGGCTCGGGTCATCACTGGGCAAGCCGGCCTCAGCATTCTGCTGCAGCCTCTGCAGTGGTGTCTGAGCACCGAGAGGCAGCGGATGTGCCTCTCCTCTCTTCACAACATAACCACACGAAACCGAATAAATATATCCAGCTTTACTCAAGGTGGGGAAATTAAAGTCACAACGTATAAAAGAGAAAATTTTAAACGGCCACCAATACCATTTTTTCTTGCGCTCGCAAGGAAAAGCATTCAACGAATGAAACGTTTCACCGGAGACTCTTTAGGTGGTGCTCTTTAGTTTTTAATCTTGTTCTTTCGACTTTATATCTACTTTCCTTTCAGAGATGCAACCTCCTTCAAACCCTCCCCCTCTGGGGTGTTGCTGTGGTTCAAACGTGTCCCCCCAAAGGGCATCATGCTTAATCCCCAGTGTAACAGTATTAAGAGGTGGGACCTCTAAGAGATGATGAGGCCATGTGGGCTCTACCCAATGAGTGGAATGACACTGTTTTCATGAGATTGGGTTCATTATCGCAGGAATGGGTTCCTCATGAGAAGATGATGTCAGCCTCCTTCCCTGTCATGCGTGTGCACTCTGGCCTGTGTGATGCTGTTTGCCATGTTATGACACAGCAAGAAGGCCTTCCAGATGTGGTGCCTTGATCTTGGACTTCCCAGCCTCCAGAACCATGAGCCAAATAAATTTCTGTTCACTATAAATTGCCCAGTCTATGGTATTCTGTTGTAGCACCAAAAAGTCCCCTAAGACAGGTATATAGCCTCTCCTGTGTTTGAGAAGGTTTACCTCCCACCTACAGGGACTGGTTTGTCACACAAGGATCTCCCACACCCTACCCAACTCCCCCTGAGAGTTTATTTAGCCAAGTCTTAGGTATTCCATTCAGAATGGCACCTGGTAGCTCAGCAAACTGGTCCAAGATGAACCCGGGCTCTCCACGTCCCTCAGAGCCAGGCGAGCTGTGGTGGATGTGGGGATTCATGCTTGTTCCCCTTTAAGTTGTCCCTACCAAAGTGAACGGAAGAGACGTCTTCATTCTTCCTAATGCTCCTGGAATAACAGATAGTGCCTGCACACACTCTCCCCCTGACAGACATTAATTCCCAGAAGTAGCGTAGATTTTACCCTTAAAAAGAAAACAAAAAAAAAAAAAATGTTTTTTTCAAACTGTCCTTGCTCTACCAGGCTGTTTCTTGGAGTTTCAGTTTACACTGCTTTGGTGACCAGAATGTATTCCTTTGCTCAATTCTCCTTCCATCCTAGTTTCAAATGGTGCTCCCTTTGACTGACCAAGAATGAGAAAAGGGGCCTATTGGCCATATACGTTTACTGGTAAATTGTAGAGCTTCTCAAAGACCCCTGCTGTCCCAGAAGCTTGGAAAGTATTACTTATAATGTGAGAGACAAATGGAGTTTTTAGAGGATGGGCCATGCATGCTGTTTTCCAATTTCTGTCCCAATGTGGTGAGCGGGCAGAGGTGTGTGTGTGTGGGGCGGGGGGGGTGTGTGCACGTGCTCATGCAGGAATGTTGGGGATGTTATTTTCCCAGTTATAATAGCAGTAACAATGGTGAAGTCTTAGCCATCCTAAATTTCATAACATCTCTCAGTCCTGACCTGGAGAGCTTTAAAAATCCCAATGCCTCACCCTGACCTATTAAATCAGTCTCTTGTGGGTGAGGCCTGGGCATCGCTGTTTTTAAAAGCCTGCAGGTGATTCCAATGTGCAGCCAGGGCTGAGAACCACTGATGTGTAGGGCTGGGAAATTGCCCCAGCTGGAAAAGGTCACCTTTCGATGCACCTGCAATGAATGACGCAGCCTAAGGCAGCGTTGTTTCATCAAGCCCCTTTCGGCATCCAAGATTCTGGGTAAAATCTCAAATAGAATGGGGAGTGAGGGTACTGGCTTCTCACAATGCGGTTGGTGTGGAGGGTCTGGAATGGCAGTCACCATCAATCCCAGGGAGAGGTCCCCACAGCATAGGCAGATCCTTATTCTGAATGTAAAGTTATGACTGCAATTACTCTACAGTGCGTGATACAGAGCAGACCTCAACAAATATGGCCAGACTAGACAGGCAGTTATTCTCTCCCACCACGAGATGGCAACATTTCAAGGCTCACTCTAGGACAATGCTGAAGTGTCAACTGCCAAAGTGAAAGGGATGCACGGTTGATAAACGATGAAGTCTAGGCGGGTTTTCCTCGGTTTGCATTTTTCACCTTTTATCTTTTAAAATAAGTGGAGCTGGGAGCGGTGGCTCACGCCTGTAAATCCTAGCACTTTGGGAGGCTGAGGCAGGAGGATGGCTTGAGCCCAGGAGTTCAAGACCAGCCTGGGTAACATAGTAAGCCCAACATCTCTACAAAAAAATAATTTTTAAAAATTAGCTGGGTGTGGTCCCAGCTACTCTGGAGGCTGAGGTGGGAGGATTGCTTGAGCCTGAGAGGTCAAGGCTGCAGTGAGATGTGATTGTACCACGGCACTCCGGCCTGGGCAACAGAGTAACACCCTGCCCTAAAAACAAAACAAAGAGATAAGCAAAATTCAAAGCAGCAAAAAAGGAAGAGGGTTAGAACATAGTGAGCTCACGTGGCTCATGTCTCTCCTAGAAGGTTGAGCTGCTTGGTTGACATCTATAAACTCACAGGATCTTGGAAAGGTAGGTCAGTATCAAGCATGAACCTATTTTATATAAGGACAGTAAATGACCCCAATTTGGTTTTTCTACCAATAAATCATCTGCCATCTGCCAGGAGACAGATTTCCAAGTCACCCTGTTCCCTAGCTTTTTCTATCAACAGGGAAACTTTTGCGAAACAACTGATTTGTGGAAACACAGATACATTTGGGTGTCTATCAATTAATAAGACCTCTGAGAACAAGCTCCCATTAATAAAACTGGCCTTGGCACCAGGCAGGTTGACCTTGTCCATGTGTTGGAGAGGAAGAACAGTGTCATCTCATGGCCAGCTTTTGATTGATTGGCTGAGCTCTGGGCCCAGCTGCACGAAGGACTACGAGCCTGGTGTTTAAAGAGGCCATAAACTCAGGCAATCAGGGCCCCCATTCTGTGTGTGGCCCCTGGGGACAGATCATGCCAGAAAGGCAGGGGTTACCTACCTGGCCCTCTGCTCCCACAGCATCTGAGCTGCCTGCAAGACCAGTCACTTGACCCTAGGAGGGGAGGAAGATAAAATGGCACACAGGGGTGGGATGGCCTGATAATCTGAGCCACTTACCTTCTGACTGAGCCACTTACCTTCTGACTGCTCCCAGGAGTTGAATTAGAAAGGTTTGGGCTTAATAACTATTTAGACCCCAAGCATTGGTCAAGATGCTGTCTGTAGGTCTCATCCATAGGTAGCAATCCTGGGGTTAATCCCATCATCTGCCTTTTTGGACCCCAGGTCTATACTGCTCATTGCTGCTCAGGGATAAATTGTAAATTCACATTCCTCAGTGCATCTGTGCAATCTTTTGACCTGCCTCTAAGAAGTCTCCTTTCCCGTCCGCATGATGGCTATTCTAGACCTCCCCCGCTACTACTAATTTCCATCCTTACTTCAAGTCCCCTCTCAGAAGACGGTTTTGCCTCCTACTTCCCAGAAAAACTTGAGACCAACCTGGCCAGGTGTGGTGGCTCACGCCGGTAATCCCAGCACTTTGGGAGACCTAGGCAGGCAGATCATCTGAAGTCAGGAGCTCGAGACCAGCCTGACCGACATGGAGAAACCCCGTCTCTACTAAAAAAATACAAAATCAGCCGGCATGGTGACGCATGCCTGTAATCCCAGCTATTCAGGAGGCTGGGGCAGGAGAATCACTTGAATCTGGGAGGAGGAGGTTGCAGTGAGCCAAGGCGATTCCACTGCACTCCAGCCTGAGTAACAAAGTGAGACACTGTCTCAAAAAAGAAAAAAAAGAAAATTGAGACCATCTGGCATGAATCCTCAACTTCCAGCCTCTCTCCTACAAAAGTACTTAGGTCTGCCAGCCCTCACATCCTCCCCACCAGTGCCAGAGAGCAAGGTGTGCCATCTCTCTAGAGGCCAGAATCTCTTCCCCTGTGCCCTGGATTCCAGTGCCTTCAACCTCCCCCTTGTTTCTTCCGGTTCTTTGCTCTACCAGCTTTCACCTCTCTCTGGTTCTTCCCATGTGCATGCTCCCCCATCATAAAAAATAAAGAAACTGAATGAAACAAAGGCCTCCCTTAAGCCTGTCTGTGACCAGTAGCAGCACATTCTGCAGCCTGCTTTGGTTCCCTCAAACCCAAATGCTCAGCTCCAGATGTGGGGCAACAGTAAAGACACAGGAAAATGGGCATTGGGTAGAAACCCCTTCCCTTCTCCCTCCCACCCTTCCCCGCTGGTAGTGTGTTACCACCAGTAGCAGCAGAGCAATAAAAATAAACACAGGGCTCAAGCCAGAGCACTGCCATGTACATGTGACAATGACCTTGTAGTCTCTGACATCCAAGGTGGCATCAGAAGTGTCTGCAGGCTGCTGAGGCTGGGGGCAGCAAGAGCCTCTGTCCTAGGTTGCCCTGGGCTTTACCTTCTGCCAAATCATGCCTTTAGCCTCCAATACCAAGGCTGCAGTGAAAACAAGCCAGGCAAGAAGCCTGTCATTTCTGAGGATGAAATGGGGACGGGAGCAGCGGTGGAAATAGTGTTCAGGGATGGGAGGTGGATCTGCTCCGGGCTGAGGTCCGCGTGGGTGGCTGAGTGGGTCTATGCAGCCTTGCCAGTGAAATGGGTTCCAGAGGAGACCCGGATTATTGTTCATGTCATTCCCCATCCCCACGCTGAGAATATAGTCTGGGAAATCTTCCAGACTGGCCTCAGCCGCCGCCGTTGTGCCCCTCCCTCATGCCTGAGTCCTGCAGTCCCTCTCTGCAGTCGCTGTTCCCAGGGCACCCACCCAAAAGCCTCCTGTTCTTCAGTTTTCCTAATAATTACAACAAAAGCATCCTTGCCAGCTCATCCTGTGTGTCCAGCAATATGCTAAGTAACCCATGTATACCATCTCATTTAGTTTCATCACCACTGACTCGAGCACGTTTGATTGATTATTATCTTCATCTCATGGAAGAAGAAACTAAGGCATGGAGAAGTCAAGTCTTCTTAGAGAACTTTACAGAGCTAGTGAGCGATGGGGCTAGGCTTTGAAGCGTGGTCTGTTTGACTCCGTGCTCTCTCGATTCTACTATCCAAATATTTATGAGGAGTATGAGTTTGTTCTAAGACACTCAGAACAAGAAATCCAACATTATGAATGTGGCAAACCCTCACTAGACAGGGCCAGCAAGATCGCCAGAATCTGGTTTTGTTATTGTTGTTTTTAGTAGAGAAGGCATTTCGTCATGTTGGCCAGGCTGGCCTCGAACTCCTGACCTCAAGTGATCTGCCCACCTTGGCCTCCCAAAGTGCTGGGATTACAGACCTGAGCCGCCATGCCCAGTCCTCTATCATTACCCATTTCTCCAAAAAAAAAAAAAAAAAAAAGGCAGCACTCACATAATAAAATTACAAAGTGTGAGAGAAAGAGGAAGTGAGGTAGAGAAATAGTGAAAATGGGCCGGGTGTGGTGGCTCATGCCTGTAATCCCAGCACTTTGGGAGACTGGGATGGGTGGATTATTTGAGGTCAGGAGTTCGTTCAAGACCAGGCTGAGCAACATGATGAAATGCCGTCTCTACTAAAAATACGAAAAAATTAGCCAGGCGTGGTGGTGCGTGCCTGTAATCCCAGCTACTTGGAAGGCTGAGGTAGGAGAATTGCTTGAACCCAGGAGGCGGAGATTGCAGTGAGCCGAGATCATGCCACGGCACTCTAGCCTAGGCAACAGAGCAAGACTCCGTCTCAAAAACAAACAAACAAAAAGTAGTAAAAACCAACAAAGCGGAATATGACAGAGCTGGCCGTGGCAGCCCATGAAACAGAAAGCAACACCGGGCCACACGCTAGAGCTTCTAGGGAGGCCTCATAAAACGGCTGCACCTCAGAGCAATGTGCTGGGGAGAAGCATCGAGAACCTATCTGTTACTTGGGTCTTTCACTGCTCACAGTTCACAGCATGGGGCATTAGCTCCCCCCTACTTTGGGTTGTGTACACGGGCCAGCCTCAGGGGCTCTAGGTCAGGCTGGACGTGGAAGTGGGTGCTGGGGCTGTTTCAGCTCCTTCCCATCACAGCAGACATAAAGAAGGTCATGTCAAAACCCAGCACTCACCCCCGGGCTGGCTGAGACAGGCTGCTCTGCTGGGAAGTGGGGTGACAGTGGCGGCAGGGGCTCTCCACTGTGCAAGTGGCCAGGAGAAGACCTTGGAGGCAGGCAAGTGACCGCAGGCAGATCTGGCTCTCCATTTCTTTCAAGAGTAAGTCTAAACTCCTTATCATGGCATCCAAGACTCTCCCCAGGGCGGCTTCAGCCTCTCTTTCTGACCTGGTTCTCTGTGCCCCCACACCTGCTCACTTCAGTGCCACTGTTCGCGCACGAAACTCCTATGTAGAAGGAGAAAAAGGAACCTCTCTGAGTGGCCCAGCTCCAGAGGCTGTGGGTTTGGCTGGCAGAACAATGTTCTGGTGTAAATTGGAAAAGTTAAACTATTTTTCTTCCTGGTGTCAGCTCATACCAGAGTGCACAGTGGATTTCAACACGCCCCTTGGCCACTCATGCATGGACGCCTTGCCAATCATACTGAATTCCAGGTGAGGAAATAGGCCAGAGAGGTGGGGGCTCTTGCCCCAGGTCACACAGCCCCTTAATGGCAGACCATGGGGCTGGGGGTTGGGGTGGGGTGGGGGCTCAGCTCCGGACTTGAACCCTTGAACTGGGCTTCTCTGCCTCCAGCTGGGCAACCTTGAGATCACCCCTCCCCTATCCCGCATAGAAACAGTTCTTGAAAAATTCCAGATGTGTCTGGCATTGACCCTGTGTTCTGCCCTGTTCGGTGTCCACGGCTCTGAGAAAAGGCCTGCATCCCAGCTTTCCCTTCCCCACCCATGACCTGCAGAGAAGAGGCCCCCGGGGCCTTTGCCAATGACCTCATGGGGAACTGCTGCCTGCTGACTTCCTGTTTTTATATTCTTTCTCCTCTGCTTATTTTTTCTGCTTTGTTGTTCTTTGGTCGTTTATGGTTCTCCTCCACTAGCTCACTCTGCAAACACTGAACTTTATGTTTTGCGATTATTTTAAATACATGTTAAAATAAAGAGACATTATACTTTCTTTTTTCCATTTGAGGAATTGGAGTTGAGTGTGATTTCTCCCCCTCTTTATCTCGATCCTCCTTCCCGTGCTTCATTTCCCAAACTGGAGTCTTTAGATTCCATAGCTTAGAAGAAACAAACTCAAAAGCTGTGTCTGTAAGTATCATGTGAATTCCAGGATTCTCTCTCTAGCAGAGATCCTTCTTCTGCTGGATGCTGGGGAAACTGAATGGGGAGCGCTCTGCCAGCCTTCCCACTGTTGATATCCCTTAGCTGTCAAGTTCACAAGTCCCTGCTTGAAAACCGCGTGAGCTCTCCATTTCTTCTAAGATGAAGCCCAAATTCCTAAGGGTGATGGCCCGCCAAAGGGCTGCCCAGTGAAGCTTTCCAACTTGGTTCACTGTTATTCCACTTGTTTCTACACCCTCTCCTCCACCCCATTTCCTCTATTCCAGCCGCGGTGCCGTTCTCACCTTTCCCAAAACCACTGTGCTCCTTCATGTCGCTGTGCTTCCACACCTGCCCTTCCTCTGCCTGCAATCCTTTTCCCTTTCTTTGTATCCTGGACTTTTATTCACCCTTCAAGACCTAACTCAAATGTTCACCTTCTCAGAAATGCCGTAGCCAGCACCTCCGAGCTGAGTTTACTACTCTTTCCCCTATGTTCCTCCTACACGTTGTCCTGAAGGATCAATGTAAAGGTATTCGAGAGCCATTTTTTTAATTCTAGTCTCCTCCTTCATTGGATTACTCACAGGTATTGATATTTACTTATAAGTGTTTCTGGCAGGTATAAATGGCTTTCTTACCTATTCACTGTCTGCACATAGGTGTGTAAGGCCCTTGGGTGAAGGTGTGAACTGAAAGGTTGGCCATTCATATGTTGATCTCCCAGAGAGAGGCTGTAGATCATTAACAAGAAACCAGAACCTGGGGCAGGTGGAAAAAGAAATGCCCCGTCTTCA